GCTCAGCCAGTGAGCGGCCGGTCTGTATGTGGGATCCGAACCCTCGGCGGGAGCGCCGCCGTGCTCCCAAGCGGCGCACTGTAGCAGTGCGCCACAGGGCCGGCCCAAAACGTCTAGTTTTAAGCAGCTTATCCTCAGAGGCTGAGTTTGCTATAAAATAATTGATCAGCCGTATGGGATTTTTGATATTGATCACTTAAATTTTGGAAGTTGACTAACAAATACAATAACTTTTCTTGTTCTCTTGTTGATTTTTAGCCTTTTCTCCTGACAATAGGTAAAAGGACCCTTTGTCTCTTGTGGTGCGTAATTGTAAGATTCTGGTGCATGTCTGGGCAGACGTGGTTGTCTGCAGCATGCCTGTGGAGGCAGGGGTGCAGTTCCTTTAGAGAGTGGTGTTGTCATTAGTAAATACTTCTTTTTTTTCCCCCCAAACAACTTTAAGAATTCTGTTTTGTACAGAAGAATCTTACCTTTATGTGGTTTTAAATGTGATTACATGTAAAATCAGTACCCATCACAATTCTCAATGATGAAACATTTATGACAGTGTCATTAAAGTCGAGTGCAAAGATGTCCATTAACATCATTTTGTGATTACTCGTGGCATTTATGTTAGGAGTTCTGGTCAATACATTAATACGTTAAGATCAAGGAATGATCTGTTGGAAAGAATGAGACAGACTCATCATTATTTGTGGACAGTATAATAGTGTAATTGTGTACTTACAAAACCTGAAGAGAATCACCAAAAAGCAATTACAGTTAATTAAGAATTTAGTAAAGTGACTAAATGTTATTCTTATATATCAGCAATTACCAATAAGAAACTGTGAAGAGAATTATAAAAATGTTACTGAGAAAAATTAAGAGAAGATTTGAATAAGTGGAGAAACATACTGTGTTCCACATAGAAAAATATGAGGATGTTACTTCTTATCAAATTTAATCTTTATATTCAGTGCAACTTTAATTAAAATCCCAAAGGGATAAAACAATTGAATAACTGATTAATTTGAAAAAAAAAAAAAAAGAATATCAAATAGCTAAGTAAAAATTCTAAAAAAATTTCAAAGATGAAAAACTGGCACCCCAAGTGTTGTAAAGTGCAAAGATAAATTAAGTTACTGCAGTGCTAGAAGTACTGACTGATGGGCTGATGGGTAAATTTAATTACTCACAAGTGGAATTTTGTCTGTATGAGAATTAAATATGTTTAAGGGGTGCCTACAGACCTACAAGTTTGAGAAAGATTATTTAGTGGGGATTGGTACAGATGGCTAGTTTTTTGAGAATAAACTAATACTCGTCTTATTTATGTCATATGTGAAAACAACATCCAGATGGGTTAAAGGGTGAACTGTAAAACAAAAATAAAATGCTAGAAGAAAATGCACGTACTCACTCATTCAGCAAATAGCACTTGCTCTGTGGCAGGTATTTTTTCGAAGGAGTCAACTTGGATCCTTCATGGAGCCTTGGGAGCATAGGCTGTGGGCACTTTGCCAGGAGGAGAGCTCATATGCCATCGAGCATTCAGTGGACAGCTGCACCCTGAGAAATTGGTATTGAAATTGAGACCTGAGGAGAGGATCAGAGCTGGCCAGGTGTCACTGGAGGAGGGGTGCTCCCGGCAGAGGGCACTGTGGCTCCTAGGGCACAGAGGTCAGCGTGTCTCGCTGAATGGCCTGAAGTGTAATAAATATGAACAGACAGCTCACAGAAAAGGAAACATACAAATAGTGGACACACGCTTGAAAAGATACTCAGCCTTACTAATATGAAAGAATATAAACTAAATCACTATGGCAGTTTTCCTCATCAAATGATTAATTATTTTAAATAACGAGAACAGTGATAAGCTGGTAGGAGTATAAATTTGTGCAATTTTTTTGCAAAAGAATTTGGCAGAATGTATCAGGTGCCTTAAAGTGGTAGATCTTTTTTTTTTTTTTTCCTTTTTGTCTTTTTTACTGACCAGCAATGGGATCGAAGCCCGCACCGCGCTCAGCCAGTGAGCGGGAACCGGTCTCCACATGGGATCCGAACCCTTGGCGGGAGCGCCGCCGCGCTCCCAAGCGGCGCACTCTCCAGTGCGCCACCGGGTCGGCCCAAGTGGTAGATCTTTTGAACAAATTCTTCTGCTTCTGGAGATTTATCATGTGGAAGCCTGAGAAAAGCAGCTCTTGCCATGCACCCCTCCCACCTGCCCACCTTGCTCTCTCTCAAACCTGTCTTCAGAGAAGGAGGTTATTCATACACTAGCACTGGGGTAGCATGGATAAGGTGAATGAAAGACTGGCTAGAGGGGCAGGGTGGGGGAGTGGCAGAGTGTTCTGGGGACATTTTAAAAATTGGAAAAACGCATCTGTGAGTACCATATTGAGATATTTGTTTTTTTTCTGTTGTATTTTCAGATGAAGACGGTTAGTGTTGCCTTAGTTTTGTGCCTGAATGTCGGTGTGGACCCTCCAGATGTGGTGAAGACCACACCCTGTGCACGGCTAGAATGCTGGATTGGTAAGTGCCAATATCTCCCTCCTCACCTGTGGAGGAGTCTGGGCTTGGCAGGGTTGGCCCTCTCATGGCCCGGTCCAGGGGTCTGTCTCCAGTTGGTGTAAATCTGAGTATTTTATTTCTTTTTGGAGTTATATAACCTTTAAGTAATTTTAGATGCATTCACTTATAATTTGTGGTTGAGAAAGTGTTTCAAGGAAAATTAATAAAATAATAATTATTGGGTTATATAATTTTCTCCTTTAAATTTGTCCTACATTTGGCACATATAGTAGGTATATACACTTTAAGAAAATGGATTGATACCCACATGCAAATATATTTGTAGAAAAGGTAAATTGAACCATTTCCAGCAAAGCATTACATAATTATGTATGAGTAGATCATCATAATAATAATGGCTAGTATTTGTTGAGTGCTTACAGCGTGCTAGGTACCGCTTGACGCACCTTACATTTATTAACTTGTTTAACCCTCACAACAACCCTCTGTGGTAGGTTCTACTATTAATCTCCATTTTAGAACTGAGGAAGATGAGACATAGAGATTAGTCATTTGTCCAAAGTTGTCTTGTAAGTAAGCAGCAGAGCTGAGATTTGAACCTATGTAGTCCAAGTCCAGAGACTGTGTTCTTTTTTTAAAAAAAAAATTGTGGCAAAACATACATAACATAAAATACCATTCTAGCCATTTTAAAGTGCACAGTTCAGTAGCATTAAGTACATCCGCATTGTTGTGCAGCCATCACTGTCCACTGCTAGAACTTATTTGCCATCCCATATTGAAACACTGTAAGCATTGCACGATAACTCCCCACTCCCTCCTCTTCCCAGCCCTGGGTAACCACTACTCTACTTTTGGTTTATATGAACCTGACTACTCTAGGTAACTCATATAAGTGGAGTCATACAATATTTGTCCTTGTGTGTCTGGCTTATTTCACGGACCATAATGTCCTCAAGTTTCATCCATTCTATAGCATATGTCAGAATTTCATTCCTTTTTAAGGCTGAATAATATTCCATTGCGTGGATAGACCACATTGTGTTTATACATTCATCCCTTGATGGAATTTGGGTTGTTTCCACCTTTTGGGTATTGTGAATAATGCTGCTATGAACAGTGGTGTACAAATATCTGTTTGAGTCCCTGCTTTCAGTTCTTTTGGGTATATACCCGAAGTAGAATTGCTGCATCATGTAGTAATTCTGTTTTTATTTTTGAGGATTGACTGTTCTGTTTTCCACAGCAGCTGCACCATTTTACATCTCTACTAGCAATTCACAGGGGTTTCAATTTCTGCACATCTTCACCAATACTTGTTATTTTTTTTGTTTACTTTTTGATAGTAGCCATCCTTATGGGTGTGAGGTGGTATCTCATTATGGCTTTGACTTGCATTTCCCTAATGATTAGTGATGTTGAGCATCTTTTCATTTGCTTATTGACTATTTACATGTCTTCTTTGGAGAAATGTCTATTCAAGTCCTTTGCCCATTTTGAACTGAGTTTTTGTTTGTTTTGTTGTTGTTGTTGAGTTGAGGAGGTCTTTATATATTCTGAATATTAGTCCCTTATCAAGTGTATGATTTACAAATATTTTCTTCCATCAGAGACTGTGTTCTTAACCATTACACACTTATCTACTGTTTTCTTATAGCATTAGGTTTATTGAGATACAATTTATATGGAGTAAAATTCACCTTGTATGCCTAGTGTACATTTCTACGAGATTTGACAAAGATACAAATATATAGTCATGTGACAAATAACACAACCAGTGTGTGGAGTATTTCCATCACACCAAACAAGTTTCCTCGGGCCCCCTCATAATCAATGCCCTCCCTTTTCCCTAGCCCCTGGCAGCAACTGTTCTGATTTTTGTGCCTACGGTTTTTCTGTTTATGGAATGTCATGTAAGTGGGATCTATGGTCTGCAGCTTTTTGTGTCCTGCCTCCATTTAGCAGAATTCATGTGGGAGTCATCCGTGTCGCTGCATGTATTAGTAGTCTGTTCCATTCTACTCCATTTCATGGGTGCACTGCAGTTTGTTTATTTACTGACTTGTCAATGGAGGTTTTGGTTGTTTCTCGTTTTCGGTGACTATGAATGAAGTTGCTGCAAGCCCTTGGTCTTTGTGTGGACATATCTTCTTTCAGGTTAGTATTTAGGACTGGGATTATAATTTTAATTATTATTATTTTTTAAAAGATGGCCAGCAAGGGGATCCTAACCCTTGACTTGGTGTTGTCAGCACCACACTCTCCCAAGTGAGCTAACCGGCCATCCCTATATAGGGATCCGAACCCTTGGCCTTGGTGTTATCAGCACCACACTCTCCCAAGTGAGCCATGGGTCAGCCCTTAGGACTGGGATTATTAAGTCATAGTTTGGTGTATATTTATTTCTTTAAGAAATGGCCAAACTGTTT